AAGGACTGTAATAATATACTATAGGTTAGGTGCCCGAACCAATTTTAAATATTATTACACGGTTTGGCGCCGGGTATAGTGCACAATTTACGTAAATAATATTGTTATAACCTTTCGCGCGGTACGACCTTTCGGAGTCCCGTACACGACGCCAGGTATAATTCGACGCGATTTTTTTTCGACATATATGTTTATTTATTATTATTATTTTTTTTTTCCCGCGATATCGTGTCTCTTTTCCGCGTCGTAGAACGGGGTGTGAGGAGGAGGTTAGAGAGGTGCGTACCGCTTTTCACTATATCATATTCGCCGTCCCTTTCTTTCTCTCCGTCGCTCGCGTCGGGTGTTTAATTGGCCTTTTCGGCTGAAATTAACCCCCTCCCCCCCGCCGGGAACGCATTAAAAATGCGACGGTCGCGTCTCGCGGCCGACGTCATAAAATCCAGCGCCGGGCGGATACGGTGCCAAATCGGTCGGGCAAAAACATAGGTATATAATACGGGTATTATACGCGCGTTCCGTTCGCCTCAGACCAGAATTTGATTTTCGTACAAATCGTGTTTTTGGCACCCGTTCGCGTTTACCCGGAAAAAACTCGGCCGACCCACTTCGCGTTTTCTCCGGGCCGCCCGTTTTAATATAGTCTGTATACAATATACGCATATTATTATAATATTATATTACGTACACATTATATATGTACGTGGCGACATTATTTTGTATAATTATTGATCCCAAGCCGTTTCCTCCTGCAACACCGTCATGCGTCACCGCACTCGTATCCGTCCGGTGCACAGCGTGTGCGATTTAACGTCGAAAACGGTCCAGCCCGCCCCGACGGCGTATTCACTGATCCTATCCGAGTTCGGTCCGGGCCGAGAAACGTACCCGGGGGGCCGGTTTTCCGGGAGTTTATACTAGAAAACCGCTGTGTACAAAACGTTACATTTTCTGACGCCGTCGGTTTAAACCCGGCTCCGGGGTACCGCGCAGCACCGTGGAAATTAGCGTCCTACGAGTAAACCTAAAACCCACCGCCTACGGAGCAGACGAACTATCGGTCGCGGGTCATTCGGATAAACCGGAAAAACCCGACCCTCGGTCCGAAACGAAGTCTGTGTCCTGATAAGTGTTGTGCCATATAAATATAGGTACTAGCCGACGAGAGCCCACGTAGGTCGCGTATTTACATACCGCTTGAGCCGAATTCAGTGGCGTATTCGACTTAGTTTTATGGGGGGGGGGGAGGCGATACCGAAATTATTATACACAAGTTTATGTTCTGTTCCGTGCATTTTACATGAAGTGTTTTTATTTTCATTTTTGTGTCTGATGACTGATTATTATCCCGTAAAATCATTTTTAACTTTATTCATTTCACTCTTTCATATCGACCTACTTTTTTTCCACGATAAAAATCTTCAATTGTTATCCAAACATTCCAGTGTGTGAGGAACACTAGAAGAATAGTTTTGCAATAGGATAAATACTTAATATCATATTTCACTTAATCGATACACAGAGAAATACTATTAATTTTACAAGTAATGTTCCAGGCGGACATATGCACCTAATACCTCACCTTTCACTCAGCTATGATAACTACATACAGTTGAAAAAGTATTAAAATATAACCTGCGGGGCCCAATGGTTTTACAAACGGTTATGTATTATGTAATGAAATTTGTTTTATTACCGCTCCTCCAGTTGTTTACCGGTGTTCGTGAATTATAATTAATTTGACTGTTCAATACTGTAATTCAATTAGTGGAATTTATTAATACACTATAATCATAGAGTATATATTAATTAAATAGACACACGATTGTTATTGTCATAGTAATGCACGGATCCAAATCAAGGAGGGGGCAACAATTTTTTACCGCACTAATACAATTAAAATATAATCTATACAATTATTAAAAAAAAATCTGAGACATAATATGTCTTGGGAGGGCCTGGGCTCCTAGCCCCCCTTGGATCCGTCCCTGGTCAGAGTAAATAAGTTATATTTTCAATTTTTTATTAAAATTATTTACCCTTTCATTTTTACTTGTTCAGTGTTAAAATACATTGAGTGGAACACAAAATACAAATATTTTATAATAGAATTATCAATAGTCATACTAAAATACTCTTAATACAATTTATATAGTTTCCTAAATTCGTAATAATTAATCCTTGATAAAATTTTAGCTATCATTAGAAAAATGAAACCTTTATCTAAGAATATATTTATAATTAAGGCTCAGAAGTTGTTCGCCCTGGCAACCCTGAACCTGAACACTTTCAAGATGTAGGATTTACTGGTAATATAAGATCATACAAGTTATTTGAATTGTGTCTTGTGTTAGCACAACAAAGGTTACTTTTTCTGTTACATAAATATCACATACTGTGGTCGGGAGAGAGCGCGGGGTACATCACAGTACAAAACAAAAACTTTTTTTTTTTTAGTTTTGTATCGGTTGTTAGGTACTGTAATATTTGCTTTTTGGTTGATTTTGCAAATTTGTTTAGATCCTGAGCGAAACGAGAAATAAGTTATCGAATTATTTGTTGAAGTATATTCACACCATATCAATTTATAAAAACTAAACTGTGAAATTACAGGTCTCTGCGATTATTTCTAAATATTTAAAAAAAAAAAAAAATAGAAACCGTAAAATTGTGTACGTTTTCCTACATTTCCCTCCGGTTTACTTTACAAGAAACTCAAAAAATGAGCAATTCGCTACTTAGACGAAATTTGCTATACAAGAAACTACCTCTACAGTTAATGATAGGATTAAGATTTCGGGTAGAAAATCGTTTAGAAGAAAACAATTTTTTAAAAACAAACACTGCACATTATAAGGAAACCAAGAACGTTCCCTGATTTGCTCAGAATCTAAAATCACATCGTGATACGCGATTATTATGGGTTATAATATTGATGTACCAACCCTAAAAAATAATAACAAAAGTTGTTTACAAAAAATATAAAACAAAATAAATAGGATCGTTTTACGAATTGTATAGGAATACCTATATCAGATTTTTTATGCGACGGGTATTATTGTAAAGAGAAAGGGATAGAAAAAAAGAAAAGAAAAAATGTATTAAGACAAGTATTACAGAAAGACGTGTAAGCAACGAGATTAAATATGATAAACAATGGAGTTCGATACTCGAGAAAAATTAAAAAAAAAAAAAAACGTTAAAAATAATAATATATTGTCTGCGGAGTTTTAATATCTTGGGAACGAATCGCAACAGCAACGAAACAAAGCAAAAACCCACAATACATAAACAAGTGAAAATTAAGACACGCAAAATTGTCGAAATTAAAAACAAAGCCGGCTATAGATCTTCAAAACAAAAAAACAAACAAACAAAAAAAACCTCGGAATAAAATTACATGCAGTTATACATGTTCGATATTATTTTAATTAATATTCGATTGTAAACTGCAATAAATCGATAGTAGGTATCTATATATTTTCGGTCTTGGGCGTACGATTTATATATTTTAATGTTCGAAAGTTATTATATTATACGGCAGCCGGTACAACTAAAATATTTCTTATAGTTAAATGTGCAGTGGTCCGACCTGCAATAATAACATGATCGCTCGTAAATATTATGTGGCCGAACCGACGACCGTTATTTCGGTAGATTACAAAAAAACAAATTTTATAGGTAGCAATCAATTGTAACGTTGAAATCGCGAAAAAAACCAAAAACAATGAACAGTGTTGTAAACGGGAAATAGGTAAGGTAAGATTATTATATTTTATAGTCGTCAGACTTGGGTAAAATTTTTTTTACAGTATTCAGAATTTGTACTTACTCGAATTTCGCGAGTCAATTTTCCCGGAACACTTTTACTGTGGGTCGGCATATTTGATGTGCCTAGTACATAGTACCTAGCTTGATAGTGTTTTTTAATTGGTTCAATCGGTTTGATTCCGGTAAATCGCCGATTATTATCGACAAGGTTAATAAAATTAAATATAATTTTTAATCGCGTTTATATCGTCTATTGAATAGTTTAAAAAATAAAATCAACGAAAGAGTATTAGAAGAGACATATAGGGTAATGACAACAGTGAATGACAGTGAATAAAAGTTCCATATTGATTTCATCAAGGAGGTATGTTCAATCCCCCATCGATTATATCATTTTTATATTGTAATAACGACAAATATCTTTAATCAATGAATTTTTTATTTTAAATTGTACCGGTTAATACTGAACTAAATAACTATTTTAGTGAAGTGATAACACCAGTTAAACGCTTATCCGGTACAATTTATACCGAATAAATTATTCGGCACTTTATCTGTTAGATAGCGCTAACTGGCAGTTGAGAAATTTAACCACCAGTTACTGCTAACTAGCAGTTACATTTCCTTACTAGAACTTTAGAAAATGGGCCTAAGAAAACCCAGTAAATGACACTAAAGATTTTTTAATTTTCTATTATTTATTAAATCACAATACCATAAAGAAAAATATCACTTTTTGTATATTACACATATAAAAATAAACTTAAATAAAAATTAAAAATGTGTAAATTCTTACTAGGTAAACTATGTCAGCAAAATTTTAATAATAAATCAATAGTTTCAACCTCGAAATCATTAAATTTATTATAAAGATACATTATGTGCAAATAAAATAACCAAAATATGTAGTAAAAAAAAATAAAAACCATCAATCTAAAGAAAAACAATGACAAACGATACAGTGAAACCTATTGTTGCAAAAATGTTTCGCGCCTATACAAGGGGTGTTGGCCATTACAAAACCAAACAAGGTTTGTGGGTCTCGGCTACACTGGATATCAAGGATTTTCTGGAAAAAAGTTAACTCTCTTTTCCGGAAGCGGGCGGCTTACCTCTGAGGGGGTCCTTAATGTGGACAAAGCCGGACTATTTTGGAGAATCTGGCAATGAGTATGCAAAAATTTCAACAGTTCATCAATAAGAGATAGAATTACACTCTTACGTTTGGATTAGAATAAAAATTTAATACTGGAGACCAAGACACGGGATGCTATGTAGAATAACAAGAATCCTTCCTTATCCAGACCGTCGGAACTTCCGAACGCGGCGATATTCTCGGGGGACGTGTCAAGAAAGTTCTTCAAATCGTCCAACGTCAATGATCGTGACGGGGAGAAACTGAACAATTTATTCAGATGTGAATTCACGATGAGATGTGGGTTGTCGAACTTCTCAAAAAGAGCCATCCACGTGACTTCATAGTTGGCATTTGATAATAAGATTGATCTCACAATGGCATCAGCACGGCAGTACTTCCACTTCCACTGCCACTAATAGTGATATTTGTTGATGATTGTTAGTTTCGTATTATTGTGTACTATCAGTGACTTATACATGTCGCAAAAGGTTACCATCAAAATTTGTATTTTGGGTAGCTGAATGTGTGAACAATTTTGAGTACCTTCTGTGTCCAAGGTCGTGCCCAAACCAATATCTTCAGCGATTGCCATGATTTTATAGTACTGCTCATGAACACTGATGCCAATCGGTACATGCGTTTTGTTGTATTCATTCCCACGTTGTAATTGGATTAGTAGAGAATGAAGAATAGTAGAGAGGGAATGGTGTCTGTTCGGATTGGAATTATACCAGCAGTGAGTCACTGACGATCAGCGATGATGAGTATGGAACGCGTAAATTTGCTGCATGCATTCGACATTAAAAAATAATAAATAATTGAACTGTTTAATGTTAAATAATTTTTCGAGTATACACGCTTACCTTATGACTATCGTGCGCCATATTGCCTTGACGGTCTTTGGCAATTTCCTGTAAAGATAACTAAAACCTTCAAAAATATATTTGTCAAAAAGCCATATACTTGCCAAAAAGGTGCTGATAATAAACTTTACATTCATCGGGTACCTCAGTGTTTCTCAAATTTTTATTGTCGTGACTCTCTAGTAAACATTTAATTTTAAATATCCTTTAAATATATATTTTATACATGGCGACCCAATAATTTATATTTTTGGTGACCCTAAATAATGGTGCGAAACAGTCCGCCGCAGTACTGCAATCCAATTCTGCTGCTCTTATTCCAACCACAAAAAGCATACCCAAATAGCATAGGGTGGTCCAGTTCACTGTTAACACGTTGATCACAGTGGGCTTCAACCTGACATCTTGAATGTCATCTTTATACATATTTACTGTATTGTAACCCACGAGCTTCAGCTGTTGAAAAAAGACTTTGGGGATACATAAAATAAATAAAAACAATTTAAAACGATTTAAAGTATAGGTACAATAAAAAATGGTTTTAAAAAATTATGGTTCGCTATAAATTCGAATTCAAATAAAACTGTTAAAATCAATATTCGTTTAAATTATAAATAGTTTAAGAGCAGTTACAATAAAAAAAATTATCTATTCATATAACTAGCTGTCCGCCTGACTATGCCCTTGCAATAAATGCTTATCTTTGTATTAGGTTAGATTACTGTGAGCAAATAAAAAATATTATAACCGTCGTTTTCCTTCCCATTTAGCCCAAGCTTAGGACTCGTAGCAAGTTTCTCTTGCATGCATGGTTAAAAACTTTTTAGCTTTTTATTTAGTAGCGTATCGTTGCGACTTAACGTGCTATTTCCCTGTTTTAATCCCGATCAATACCACTGAAGTTAATCGTTATTAATCTTAAGGCATTAAATGTTTGAAAATGCCTTTTCTTTAATTTTGATTTCAAACTTTTTTGAATAAGTTATATAGTTGCTTATAAGCAATAAAAAATATTTATAAATTATTATTTTGTATCTGGCTCAACTATCTGCTGTTTAGGTTTACTACTTTACTGCTGATCAGATCGAAGATTTCAATAAAAGAAAACCTTCTCCGGACAATGCAGATCATTTTACGAAAAACCGTATACAAATTGGTCTAGTAGTTGCAGAGAACGTGCATAACAAAGATTTCTATTTCACGTTTATATAAATATATATGTATAGATATGTACTTATTGATGAAAATACATTTGAAAATATTTTCAAATAGTTTCAAAGAGATGATGTTCGTTCCACTCAGAATTTAAAATTATCGAAAAGGCAATTTAAAACGGTTTAAAGTATACGTGCAAATTTAAAAATAGCAGTTTAAAATCCAATAAAAAAAAAAAAAAAAAAAAAAAAAAAAANATTACTATGCAAAAGTCCAAACCCGGTACAAATCGGTGTCCCGAGAACTTTGTCTGGGACGCCGGGACATGGGTTCCTGAACCGGTAATGTCCCGGGAAATCCGGGACAAATGGCCGCCCTAACTTATTGATGAAAATACATTTGAAAATATTTTTAAATAGTTTCAAAGAGATGATGTTCTCCACTCAAAATTTAAAATTATCAAAAAGGCAATTTAAAACGGTTTAAAGTATACCTGCAAATTTAAAAATAGTTTAAAATCCAATACAAAAAAAAAAAAATGTATAACTTAATACTGTGGTCGAACCACCAATTAAATTGTCTTCAAATTTGACTCCGAGTGTTACAAAGTTTTTTCGCGATCGCTACGCACTGAAAACAAATATACGAATTATCATATTATATTGATATAGAAAAATTATGAGAACATATTCTACGAATAATTTAAGACAAAAAACAGTATACCAACCTAGGATTTGTTGACCGCTCTAGGCAAATGTTGGGCGAACTTCGGCGCCATCATTCGCTATTCACTCGATGGTTTCGCCGTCTCTGTAAACCTCCCATAGGACCGACAGGCTGTACTAAGGTGACGTGACCACTACATCTGCTCGGTGAACTGACCGTCCGTTTTAAAAGTCTTTTTGTTGGAATTCAATACTCACAGCAAATTCAAAAATACTGGCGTTGTAATCCTGCCGCTCTGATCTTGACCACAAAAATCATATCCGAATGATAGGGATCCAGTTCACTGTTGACACGGTGAGCCAGAATGACCAGGTTAAAACCTGGCATCCTGAATGTCATCTTTATAATTATGTATTTACTGTGTTGTAACTCACAAGCTCGTGCTGTTTCTGACGTTTTTTTGATAACATATATGGTTCCGTTTAAAGCATGATGAACGTGAGGAGAAAGTAGGAAAAAGACATTTATTCAATTTATTCAATTTAAAACATGTCGATTTTCCCGGGACACTTACTGAGGATCGGCATATTTTATGTTATTTGATAATGTTTGTTTTAATTGGTTTAATTGGTTTGATTTGGGTATATCGCGAATCATTATCGCCAAGTTTAAAATTAAATATAATTTTTAATCGCATTTGTATCGTTTTTGAAGAGTGTAAGAAATAAAATAAACCATTGTAATGAAATAGTATTATAAAAGACATATTTTGAGAGAACATAATATTCACGGTACATCTATAAATACTGGTTTTGCGTAAAGCAAATATTAACTTGGCACGTAGCGATAACTGATCCAATACATTTTTACACGGTTCAGTTCTTGGATCGTGATCTTACTCGGTTTCGTCTCTACAGAACTATTTGACGAGCCTCTATTTGACTGTACGTCGTTTTCTTCACTGAAATAATAGTACATCGAAAAGGATTATAATCGAATGTGTTTTATTCAAATTATAAAGTAACGGAAAAAATACATAGTCTTGATTAAACTATATTTTTATAAGAATTGAATTATTACAAAACTAGGTACATATTATTATTTTACTTCGATAAATTATAGGTATGATGTTTTACATACCGTTCGTTGTTAAAAAAATTCTGACCGGTTAACTACACTGAATCGGAGTTTTGAAATAAATTTCAATTCTGTGTCCCGTTGTCTCGATGAAAATATACGGAATGCATTTCATCCCGTTTTTTTTTATAATTGTCTCGTTATAATCCCATTTTTCTCTTACCATTTATGCATAACTTATTTGATTTATTTGCCGTCTTTACGGCATTATTGGAGAAAATCTCTTCAGTGATATTTTTGGGTTGTATAGGTACACTGTACCTAATAAGTGACTTAAAGGTCTCTTGCTCCAAAAAAACAACCAAATATGCACTAAAATATAATCTAAAATTTTTTTTTTTCTTATTGATATTGTATACTAAAAACTTGACTATTATTTTTTTTTCCCCCCATAATGGTATTTACGAAAACACTTTTTTTCGAAATGAATAATTTGATCAAACTCAATGATTGTTAACTAAAGTAACTATTTCACGATAGTTAATTTGATTATGCTATCGCACACCAGTGTGTATGAATTAGAATAACGTGAATTAAAAAAAAGCGTGTATTACACGAATAATACATGGCATACAATAATATAATACGAGTGTATGCAAAATAAAATTTAGGATTTAGATTTATCACAAGATAAACAGTATTTTTTTATTATTTCAAAAATAATATGCAAATGCTAGAAGTCCCTAATCCTAATAATAAGCAATGATTATTATGAAAAGACATTTTAAAAACTATTCTTGTTATAAATTGTTCGATATTTTATTTATACATAAAAACCGTTGTACAACACACACATTTGTTTTGTTTTGTATACAATGTTTAATGTTTATAGTTCAATTTAATTATTATCCATCATGTTTAATCTGTTTTTTTTTTTTTTTTATGGTCATCCTACTCCAACCTATACTTGTGAAGGTCAGTTCCGCCATCATTTCAAATAAAACAGAATAAAAACATATATTTGTACGAATAACCAAACAGACTTTTAAATTAATACACGTTTATATATAAGAAAAAAATGTCATTACTGCTGATGGGTATGTTATTGTTTTAGAAAGAAATTTGGAATGTAGGAGTTTTGAAATATATTTAATTTATAACGGAAATAAACTCCAGTCAAAGAGAAACAGATTCTGAATAGAGTATAATTAGTCGTATATTTTTCCAAGTTGTCAAGGTAACCCAGAAATTAATAAAAATTTTAAGATTTACCGATTTATTTATGTAGTATTTCCCTCGACAACAGAGACCATTGCACTGCGTTGAACATATTTGTAATTGTAAATAGTAATAATACTATTGTTATCACGAATAGTTGGAGAACTCGACGACGGAACAATAATATACGTTTCAACGACGAATCGATTTGATTATTATTGACGTTGACGTTTTTCACGCGGATACAGTATAAAGTTTAATCCGTTAAAAGGCCGAGTGAAAAGTTACATAGAGTCGAGGGAATTTTCTCTTTTCGTATAAAGGAGTCAAAAAACATTTCGCCGTTTTTTCTTCTAGAGAGTACTTTTCGCGGAGAAAACTTCTGGAATACTGCTACTTTCCTATAGAAGCTATATAAAAGCGACCGTTTGAGTGAAATTATGAAATTAAATTTCGATGATTCAAATACGGGTATTTTGGTCCTGTAATATTAACGACACTAATCACATACGCTTTAAATAAAATGAAAAAATATGTTTTGACTTGGGCGAGTCCCAAATTGACCTTTTATACGGTGCCCGGAACGTGTATTTAGCTACGTTTTCGAAATTTACGCTTATAAAATCCTTTGTTCTTATAAATATATATTTTTTTAAATTACTTTGGTGAATATTTTTCACAATTATTTTATTTCGTTAAGCGTTTCCACGGTATTGTCTAGTTTATTTGCGAATAATTGTTGAAATTGTTTTAAGTGAGCAGATTTATCATACAGTATATTTATGATCTTGTCTAAATTTTATTTTTGGGTTTACTTATTTGAATTCATTAAACGAATTGTTATTAAAAATCAAAGTACAGTATATTTAAGTCCAGTCTTGTAAAGAATACTTCCAAGGGTATTCGAATATTACGTATTTAAACTACTGTTCACAAACCATAATATTAAGATTACATATTCAAATACTTATTGAATTTTTTTGGGTTTTTCTACTCATAAGATGACCAATCACGAGTCAAAATTAATCTCGATTTCAATGTTTAAAAACAATAACCATAATATTATCAAAATAAAAACAATAAAAAGGTTAACTATGTTTTGAATATTTCAATTAAAGATAAAAACTAAACATGTTTAATACACCATTAGTTTCCCATTGACCGATATTTTTCAATCGGATTAAAATACAGTGTTTCCGTGTCGTTTTGGTATTCGTACCATTTGTTAACTGTTTTTTTTCTCTTTTAACGCCAAACCATTTGGACGGTCTTAAATCTTTATAATTTAACTATTACAAGTAATGACCCATGACGAAAACCCCGAGAACAAAGGCGGAAAGTGAGGTACCGAAATTCGGGTTTCACGGTGTTCAGCGTATTTTAAAATTATTTTATTTGAATACATTTTAATTGAACATTTTGTGAATGGCTGTATTTTAATTTTGATACGATGTGAATATAATGTGTTGAAACCTTCCTTCCTGGTGCATGTTAAGACACGTTTTAACATTTCAAATTTGAAATGATAAAACATCGGTACCTATATATGGATTCCAAAAACTATCGCCTACCGAACATAGTACAAAATATTTCCATTTTTTTTATTTACTTATTATGTTAATTTTAAATCGAATGAATATTATTTGAATTTTTCGGAGTTTTTACTATACGATTACAATATATACTTCGTGTGTTATACATTATTTTTTCGTGGTGAAATTTACATTTTGATTTGTTTACAATGTACCCATAGGTGCTTATACGTATTTTTCAATATTGTACGTGGCATTTACCGGTCCCGACCAAATATTATAATGAAATACATAGATTTATTTTTAAATTCCGAGCCAAACGAAAAATGCAGTGGTATGATATGTTTTTTTTTTTTTTGTGTCTTCAATCAACTTTTCGACCAGAAATTTTGCTCCAATCAATAAATGTCTCGTAGCATTTTTCATTTAGTTGATGTTTTAAGGGCGGGGACTATTTTTTTTAATATTTCTAGTAGTATTTTTAATAAATGGAAAAGATGTGTACGTTTTGTAAGTTTCTAATTGAGTTATCTTGGAAACAACTTAGAAGGGAAAAAATATGACTAATAGTACTTTGATCAGAATTATTTTTTTATTAACGATGATTTATCGTTCGTTACGTAAAAATATCAATTAACTTAATCTATAATATATTATCCATTCCAACTTCCCTGCTAAAACAGTGGATCACCCATCAACAATATCAGCCTATTATTATTTTTTGTATCTCTTCTAATAACTCTTCTACCACATTTATCTTTCTCTGATTTTAAAGTGTTACTAGTGTTTCAGAAAGATATTTTCTGTGTCCAACCCTTTGACAAAGGTTACAATCAATTGGGTTGTGGACCTCAGTTTGTGTTAACTGAGAGATTTTCAGCGATGTTATAGCTGAGAGACGCTGGCTAATGAATTTAGTTGTAGACGGTGAGAAGTTGATTAAACTATGGTTTGCATCTATTGGTATAGAAGTTGAATCCCATCGAAGTTCTTGTAGCATAGACCGAGTTGTATTGAATGACCATTGATGTAAAGGTCGATATCCATTGATGTCACGTGTACGATTGAGTGTTGAGGCACCTGGGATGGTGGGGTCAACATCTCCTAAACTCCAGCTCGCGATAAAAGGATTCGCGGCGTTAGCTGACATTTCACACTATATTAAGTGCGTGTATACGTAGGGAGCGGGTACTATGAGGTAGTTTGATGCCTTGCGGGTGTTACTGCCTGTTTTGCCATAGTGACCATTTAGGTCGAGGATTTTCCTCGACTCGAACGAAAGCAAATCATCCATTGTTCGATAGAACCATTGGAGTCCATTACTGTCAGTGAAGTTTCAGCTTTTTCAGAAAAAAAAAAAAGGAAACGCCTACATTATTCGTATTCTAATTATTACAATAATTTATATATGTTAACAAAATTATATTTTAACAAAGTAATTATTACGAAAACGTAAAACGATGACAGCGTGAACGTGAACGTTGGAAGGCAAATTCTGCAGCCAGAACTCGGTGAGAGCCTGCTCATTGATGTCATCCGGCAGCGAATTGCACATCTCGCGCAGAAGCTGCGACGGGCGGCGATCGCCGAGACCCACCCGGTTTAAACATTGCGCGGAAGCGCATAGCACTGGGCACGTTAAAGACGTCGACGAGACAGGTGTGAACATAATGTGTGTATATTTTGTCTGATTTCGAGACGAAATTTGTCTTGTGGCGTCACTTTCCCCATATTCATTGCCGCCAGTCGATCATTCACTGATATGGTCTTAATCGGTGGATATACTCGACGGTTCATAGGCTTGAAATTTCTGTTTCAGTAGCGCTTTTTTCTTCTCTTATTGCACTAAGATGTAAATCTGGCTCCTCTTTTATTCTCATTTCATTCTTTACCCCTTGGGGTGTGTTGAACATTTTCTCTCGTCCAAGAGAAGAACTCTTGTTGCACTAAAACATTTTTTTGTCTGCTAATAATTCATATAAATCTAATAATATTGTTCCAAATATTGAAAATAATTGAAAGTATTCTTGTACTCATATACCCAATAGTAATGGCGTAGTACGTTTGTTGTATCGCAAAAACCATTATGTTACTGCTATTTGTTGACCACGTTAATAACTATCATGAAAGGTATGTCTTACGGTAATAAGTCTGTATCATGTTGATCAAGTACGTGGAATTATGTACTAAATAACGACAACCTAAAAGGAGCAAACAAATTGTACAGGTGAGTATGACTTTTACCTATAATCTCGCCTGTCAATTGAAATAAATAAAAATAATAGAATTTTATTTGAAAACGGAAAATAAAATCGTATATATTACCCACCTTTCGTTTTTATTTGCTAGAAATATTATATTTAATTTTGCAGCAATTTCTCATGGAAACTTGTTTTATGGGTACTCCATAAAAAACCATACAAAAAACGAGTGTCGTTTATTATAACGCGTCTATCCGAAACGAGATGTAAAGTATAATTAACATATTTTTAAAGTATTATTTCAGATAAACACGATTATTTTTATTAATTTATATAAATAAACAGGTTGTATAAAACCCTTTATTTATATATAGATATTATTTTGTATTTGCAGGTTCTAAAACGTTCTTAGTTTTAGGGAGTTTTTTTATAGTGTAAGTTACTATCCTGAGGTCAGAACAGGGACAGATCCAGGGGGGGCCTAGGGGCCGATTTGATAGAACCGGTACTATTCTGTCTCTATGGATTGGCGGTGACGGGTAGATTCTATACCTTCACGTGGTTCGCCCTATGAATAGTGTGTTCAGTGTGGTGTTTCAACGTTATAATACCGCAAGTTTTACTATGAATACACGAAACAAAACAGCATAAAAACGACAGCCAGACGCCCTCGGGTATCCTGATTTTTTTTTGCCAAAAATAGCTCTTTCCAGGGCTCTCTTGATGTGTGTAAGTTCGTGCGAAACAAACAACATTTAACAAAACTCCACAAAAATATTTACACAAATAAAGTAAATATCAAAAAAAAAAAATAAAACCCCCCCTTACATAGACAGCGAAGATAATTCCTATCCAAACAATGAAGATCCGCAAAGAGTTGTTCACCTCAACACTGAAGGTTTAACATGAATAAAATCGTATATATTAAACAACACTTCCAAAGAAGCAAACGTACTAGTACTACAAGAGACACACGTCTCTGACGATGAGACTAGGAGCCTGAGAATCCCGGGTTTAAACATGATTAATTATAAAGAACACAACAAACATTGGCTAGTAATATACATCAACCAAAATATAGAAGAATGGCTCCCGTCGCTGAAGTCCGACTAATCTATAAGAAAACCAAGTGGTTACCTTTGAAGGCTATAAGTCTGTACGGCCTTTTCAAGAAAACCTTAGATCAGGAAGTTAAACAGAAAAATACCGAGGTACCACCCAAAATAATGTTGCGCAGACAAGTGTAAATGACAACCTAATCGAATGTACCCGGGAAGTAACATTATCATAATATATTGCAACGCCTAAGCAATGAAATTAATAATAATTACCTGATGTAATTCCAATCTATATTTTATATCGCGAAGGATCGCAATGGTAGTGCGAGTTGAAAACTTTATGTCTTATCGACAAATAGTACGTAATGTATAAGTACCAGCCTAACCATAGGTACCTACATCTACACTGAATATTGTATTAACGGTCTGTAGTAAATGTCTTTAAGCGGGTCGTATTATCTATGCAATATGCGAACGGACCTAGAAAACGGTCCGTTAGTTTTACGCAACCGAGCATTAACATAATTACTATAGTCAGTAATTACACGGATGAGGCGAATTTCCGATAGTTGGGTATAACACGGGTACGTTGTGTCACTACATAGCAGCAGAAAATATATGATTATTATACGTTGCAGTAAAATATCGAATATTACCTGTGTTACACCTAATATAATATTGGTCTGTATTGGATTTTTCGTAAAAACTACCGAAGGCAGATAAATTAATGAAAATAACAACGGTTAGTTATGGGATAATGTCTTATTGGCATTATTATTACGTACAAATATAAAATAAACATCATTGTGAAACCAGAACATTCCTCTCAGAATCTAAAAATGTATATATGTTAAATTATTAATTGAGATGTGTATAGTTTAAATATGTAATAATCATGTAAAGTAAAATAGGTATACACTGTATATTATGATAACAGTTCAATAAAACTGTTTATTATAATTTAGGAAACTAGAATGAACAGTCACTGTTTATTAAATCCATATACTAATTTATAAAAAAGGTGATTTACTTTTTTTTCTTAGTTAATAATTTTTTTCCATATAAGCTTTTAACTTATAGAGTTAAATTAATGATTTGTTAACTTTTAATTTATTGATATAGTGTTCTCTTAACTTAACATGAGTTAATTATTTTCATTAACTTGTCACTAAGAGTATAGCCTTCAGGAATGGAAGAAGCATGGAGCAATGGAATTGGAGCTGTATTTGAGGTCAAGACCATTATAAGACCAAGCGATTTTGCTTAAACAACAGACCTTTTTTGTTGCATTTTGGATATAGTTGGTGCATTGAGTTGTCATTATTTGAAATTCAAAATGATTTTCATAATATTTGGCAGCAATCGGAAAAGAACGTACCTATAGGTTTATATAGGAAAAATGGACAAATATAGGTATGACGTTAACCCGCGATTTCATCATTTAAAACTGTTTAATGTTATTTTTCTACGAGAAATCTTGCACCGAGATTCTAATGTTGCATTTTATTTGAAAAAAATGTTGTCTTTTTGGATTGTAACAAAGTTTTTTTTTGATTTTTCGCGAGTGTAGTTTTGTTTACAATTAAGAAAATCCTAGGAAAAGTTTACCTACGACATTAATGGTTTCATTATTTTAGATATAGTTATTTTGTTGTAATTCGATTAAAAGTAAACATAGAGACATGTCAGTTTTAAAAATATACCTCAATTCTTCATTATATTTGCATTTTCTAGATTTGATAAACTGTTTAAATAATTCTAGAGATTTTACAGTAATTTATAAGTATTTGTCACTGCGAGATTTTTAAGTTTTTATTTATTATAATGTTTATATAATTTTTAGGGCCAACAGGAATCCTTGAAATTTGAATACAAGTTTATCTAAGTGTTCGAAAAAAAAAAAAAAAAAAGGTGAGCCTAATGGTAGTAGTTTGTTTTTGTAAGCCTTTCAAAACATAAATAGGTAACATTGTTTTATCGTTAAGTACAAATATAAATTAAATAACTTTATGTATCCTGGTTTTCAGCTCACCACCTACAAGGATGGTACGACTGATTCAACTCTCATTTTGCATTCGAAGCGTAGCTATTTTATTTTTTTATGTCTGTAATCAACTTTTCTTCCAGAAATCTTGATCCGGTGTATCAAGTGTAGCACCATTTCTGAAAGAAAATTGTATCTGCTGTTTGGTGCGTTAGGGAGGTCATTTTTTAGTTTTCGTATAATTGAGAAAAACCGAAAAAGACGAAAAAAGAAAACTGACAAATTTACGGGGTGACAATTTCATTATTTTAAATTTTTCCTCATTCAACTTAACATTACTGCATTTTCTGCCGGCAGTAATAACAACAGCGCTATGATTGTAAAATAAAGAACGGTATAGTCTTTCAAATAGCGGAACCGACCAACAGTTCAGATTAATTTGTGTTTTACTTTGTAAGTAGCCATAATATTAACGTCCAAGGATGAACTAACCCGTCCCGTTGTCAAGTCGTGCTGTTACTCGTGGAATAACTTTCCATAATCCAGACTTTTATATATTTTCCTATACCCATTTTATGTACCCATTTAATCCTAAATACCCATATAATCTGTTACAAGTTATTTTCTTCTAATTTTGTAAACACGTACACTGTCACCCATATATAAAGCACCCGCTGACAATAACGACGATTGCTTACTTACCTTTCAAGTAATTTTTTGAGATGTAGTGAGTGAAATTTATTATAGTAATTATTATTTTACATTTCTATAATATGCTGTATAATATTTCTGTTCCTATTGTTTAGTAATTTCCAATAGTATATGACCTGATCTCAAAAATGACCCCACCAACATGAATCTTTTTATTTGGGGGCAGTTAATAAACTGTTTTTCTTTATGAATGTTTGTTTAGCTAAAGTTATTCTTTATTTATATAATAATACATATTATTTGTAAACGAAATTCATGATTCTCTATTAGTTTATTATCCAAATAACTGTAGATTAATTATATAACTAATTGATAAATTTATTATCCAGTAGTATTAAATTAAATTGTTTATAAAATAATATATTAATATATATAGTAGAATACTATATTTATTAGCTATTAATACGAAAACCAACTTTTTTTTAATTGTTCTGCTACGTTACTTACTCATATAATTTAACAAATTAAGGGTGTACCGTATTAAAAAAATCACATTGAAAAAATCAGGACTACCCTAATATATATTTACTGCAGTTTACAATAACTTACCGATTTCAGATGTACTAGACTTTGAAGCTCATATTCATATTCATATTGTGGGATTGATATTTTAGGGTATTTTGAGATTGCCTTTTAATCTATATAACTACTGTTTTTATCTATAATAGATTTTTACAGTAAATATTTTCCCCACTACCATAATTTGTTCAGTATCCATAACTTTTACAATATTAATTGCCTGAACAACATTATTATCCAATGTTCCAAAATAACAATTAGATTATGAATCTATTTTTAATGTGATTAATTTATGTTTTAGAATTAATGTTGTGAACTGAAATCATTGGATTGAATTTGGTAAAGGGCCATTTTTATGGTGGTTCTTTACAATTGTGTTTTTACTATTAATAATACCATTTGAGTTAAGAGTACAATTTCTTTTCAAGTTCTTTAAACCGTTTAATAATTTGNCATGCACATTATATGAAATTAAATGCATGCCATATATAATTTGAATATTTTTAATAAAAATCATTAAAAGTTGTTTAGCAAATTCTATAAACAATTGCATACTAGGAATATATATATTACGGGTAGTCGACACCAGCGATCAGGGTAATGTTTAAGATGTCGACAACCAACCGTCGACCGTGGCGTTGAACGAGTATAACTGTAATAACATTTGAATATTATTGTATTTTCAACGCTTTAATATTGTTAGCCATTATAGAAATATTTAAATATCAATGAAAATCAATGTCTATGCAATATTATTAAATATAATTGCATTTATATTGCATATTCAACAATGTATAAATATTGAACCCATAGTTACAATCCAACATTTAATAATCAATATAAACACAATATTACTATAACATATACATTTTCAATTTGGAATTTAAATAATAATACAATGTCCATTTAATCTTAAATTGGTAATATTAATTTCTCAACGAACATCCAATATCCATTATATATTGACATTGCAAAATTGCTGCCTGGGATATGTATACATTCAGTGTTCGGTGTGATTAATACGAAAAATAAATTATTTAGGTTTATTTAAAGGCTAAAAATCAGGGTGGGCCCGGGCCCACCAGGCTCACCTGCTGGACACGCCCCTGATTTATTGGCCTCTTAATGTTTCAACGATTCCACGGAAACTATTGTATCGTAATCATAAACTTTATTTTCGACCAGTCATTGGCCTCCAAACCGTACGCATGTGTCGTATGATTTAATATTTTGATTAGAGGCCATTGGCGATAATGATTCAATATCGTCAGATAGATATCACTTCATAATTTCTTCTGGTTATTAAATCTTCGTGTTTTTGTTGATATTCTATTATTGAATATAATTAATATATTTACTTTAAATATAAATTTTATTTTTTTTTTAAATATAATTTTAATAAAGACAAAATTGATGTTTAATATTCATAAAATATATGTACTATAAAAGATTTAACTACTATATTATATATGGTTATAAATGTTGAGTAGGTGTTGTTTTGTTGATATGCCAGAGTTGAATAAGAAGCTATATGGGATTTTATCAGGGTCCGGACTTTTGCTTTTGCAGTCTTTAAGAGTTTGTTCTAACTCTTCCATAGATATTTTGAGGTTAAGGTTTATTTGGTCTAGGTTATTTGGATCAATGGTAGACTTTGTTTGGTTGTTCTCCTTGGGTATCTTTATTTCATTTATGAATTTTTTATTGTATGTTTTGTCGCTGGAGTTTTCGTGGAAGAAGTTTCCTAATATATCTGCGACTTCTGTTTGATCAGTTATGGTGTTCTGGTTGGTTTTTATGAATATGTCGTTATTTCGGGTTAAGCCTTTTAATGATTTTATTTTTCTCCATACTTCTGATGGATTCGTTTTTACGTTGATGGTGGATGTGAATTCGTTCCACGATTCTTTTTTGCTGTTTTTAAATTTTATTAGTGCTTTATTTTTGTCGGATATTACTTCTTTTATGTTATTGTTCCACCATGGTACTCTGGGCTTTTTTGTTTGCTTAGTTGTACCTATTGACTTTTTTGCGATGTCAGTTATAAGATTTGTGAATGTTTGGGTAGTTTCTTCTATGTCGATGATGTTGAGGTCAAGTATTTTCTTGATTTCTTCTTCTAGTAGGTCGGTATATAAGTTCCAATTAGGATTTTTTATATTCCATCTTTCTTTATTAGAGTATATATTATCAACATGTCTTGGTAATATTTTAATTTTAATTTTGATGTGATCACTGCTGTAGATTTCAGGTAGCACTTCCCATTCAAGCCTTTGTGCGAATATATGGAAAAAGGGACAGATCCCCATAGGTTGGAAAACGGCCAACATAATACCAATACTAAAACCAAAAAAAAATAACACGCACCTGAAGGCTACAGACCTATATCACTCCTTAACACCATGACCAAAATATTAGAAAAAATAGTGAATATTCGCCTGATTTGGATCTTGGAAAATACTATATTATAATGTTTGGTACCTAACTGTTATCTTTCTGTTATAGTAAATTGAATTTAGTACACATGTATAGGTAAATAAAACCCAAGGGGCCATTTTGTGGATTATTAATATGAATAAAAACACAATCGAGGGGCTATATTTAGACGAAAATATTATTGCCGACCAATATTTAATCCGGACTACATTTTATTCGAATCGTTCTTTAGCCGATACATATTTCGTCCGAAACGTTTTTTAGCCGATACAATATTTAAACTGACAAATAACTAATCCGAATTACATTTTATCCGAACGGTATTTTAGCCCACAAATATTTTGTCCTATCCGTATTCTAGTCGGCACGTACTTTATACGATCTGTATTCCATCCGACAAATTCCCCATCCACTTCAACAAACGCTACAACACTACAGGTAGCGTCGATAATAATATTATTTATAGTTGGCTGCGGGTCGTAGCGTAGGTTCAAATCGTTTACTGTCCAAAGACCGACAGACAGTCTCCACCGATCATGTAATATGTTACCTACTTAAAATAATATTATATTATAATTAAGTGTTACCAACATTATAAAATGCTGACTGTGCAATATCTCTCTCCTTTAAATAAAATAGATAACTTTGTATGATACACTTTGATAGCTAATTGTCATGTTAGTATTTCTTATATACGAGAATCATATTATTATATTTGGAAAATTTCACTGAGGCGGTGTTCTAGATATAATTGGCCGGGTGCATTATTTATGACTACGGGATTATTTAACTTTTATATTAGCGTCAAAAGGTCGTGTATATATCTATTTTCTATGTTTGTGTTTGAAACATTAAATTGTCATTAGGATTTATATGCAATTGTATGGGTTTTTTTTTTTTTAACAGTCCAAAATATTGTTCGATAAACATTTTGTTAAATTATAGTTGAAAAATTAATACATTTTGTTATTATTATATGTATATTATCAAATCACTTCTAGAGTTAAAGTTAAATATTCTGTCAGAACTAGTTGTAGTCATTTTTGTTTGCATATTTCATACGTTTTTTGTGCATATAATTTCGGGCCCTAATTTTATAGATATTAAAGATAATAACTTTAATATATACTACAGTTAAAGATATACCTTCATTTATAAATCTTTAATCGTGATATTTACATAGACCTTATGGCTTATACTAATCAGTGGCGGTGTGACGGGGTTAAATTGACGTAGTTGTGCTACGAAAAAAAAGGTGGGTATTGAATGTTGATGTCTATAGTTGAGTAGAAATAGTAGGTAAAATGTGTAGGACACGATGGAAGACACTTTATTCTTTAGATTAAAATTTAAAAACCAAGAAAGTTTACATGCCGATCTCCGATTTGGTAAGCGTTTTTTTTTATATTTTGTGTTCATATATAAAGGAGGGTGGGTAGGTAAGTGTATAAAAATTGTGCTGCGTCATTGAAATAATAAGTTCACGTCGCCATTGATATATATATGTATATAGTGACTTACACCACTTTCTGAGTCGTTGGTTTCCATAGATCTACGGTTTTTTGTAGGTGCTTAACTAGTCGAGATTCCGGAATCTAACCTAACCTAAATCGCTTGCGTTTTAATAACCAAATGAAAAATAAATGTTTAATAAACGAATGGACGAACAAAAACAAACTTTACACGCGTTTTATTTTTATTTTTTTAAATTTTTAATAGTCAACCTCTCCCGAGTGATTAGCTTTAGGTGCCGGCGTCCGAAGTCGACGAGTTCCAATGTTAGGCGCCAGAAAGAAATCGGCGCGCGGACTATACGCCACAAACGAGTTTGGGAACCTCTGATCTGTATAAAATATATATTAAGTTTGCGTATTGCACACACACAATAACAATATTAAACATCAGTAGATATTCGCAATATATACGTTGCCAAGTTATTTCAACGATATTACAAGCATGTATACAATGTTATGTAGGTACCTACCTTGAGTTTATAGGTACTCTTATAATATTATACGCATACGGCGGAATCATAATAATAACGTCGGTTAAGCCGGGCGTATGGTCCGTCTGACGTGGGTAAAAATCTCAAAGCCACACGGGGTGGCAGGTACAGTCCGCCGACCGCGTCTAGCCGAGTTCTTTTTATTTCTAGGTTTTTTTTTTTTATTATTATTATTATTCCAACCCGACCAATTCCTAAGTATTTTATTATTATAAACCGTTATTACTGTTATTGCTCGGTGGCGGTACTGTATGCCGTATATTATCTGGAGCACACTAGATATTTATAGAAATACAATAATATAATAATACAATGCAGGTACTCGTGTCTCGTGCTCGTATGCATACGTATACGTTATTTATATGTATACGCGCAATATCAGGCGGTTTATGTCGTTGACGTCTGCACTCCGGCGGTTCCCTATTATAATAACGTTGTTATATTATTTGTATTTGTGTTATTGCGCTGTATGCGACATAGCCAATGGACACATTGTTGCGGCGTAGACGGTGGCATGGCATTGCGTACCGTATCGAATCGATTCGATGATAGGTAACGTGGCAAGAACGGGTATGGACCGTTAAAACCGTGTAATGTTAACGCGAGACGGATGGTAAATATAATTGTGGCCGAAAAGAAAATCGAAAACTTTCGATTTTTAATGCGGACAATTTAATTTCGATAAGATAAATTTCGTTAAATAAACGAATCCAAAGCGAACCATACTGTTTCATCGGATATTTTACCGAACTTCCGGACAGAACTGCAAACAAAAATTAATAAAGTATTTTTAATTTCAAAATGTAAAATGTTGCGTTATTCGGAAATGCATTAACATCATCGCAAGCGTAATTCTGCGATTTGACGGCTGAGGTGTCGGGTTTATCGCAATGATGTTATTGTACCACTAGGTATGATATCAACGGACGTAATTCTGGATCGTGATGTGTAAATATGGTCTTTCGCCGGTTTTAATTACACAATTATTGGCCGTATTTTGAATAAATTACAGTGTCAATTATTCATTTAATTTTAGATTATGAGTAAAGCGGGGAATCTATCGGTTTTACTATGATTTGCGGTATTTTTTTTTTCTGTCTGTAAGTACTTTTCTCCTAGAAATCTTGCTCAAATCAAAACATGACAGTAGACTTTTTTTGTCGAATGTTGGCTCTATTTGGTACTTTGGAAAGTTCATTTTTTGAAATTCTCATTGGTATTCCAGATAATGAGAAAAAATTGTTCTTTAGGGTAAAAAAGATTAAATGATTAAAAATAACGTTGTTATTGGCAACCGGTTTTTGTTTATTTTTTGTTATCATTAAGTTTTTATTATTTTAATTTTTTTTGAACAATCTTTGTTGTCTTGAAAACATATATTGTTGTTAAACAATACTATTGACCAAGCTCCGCTCAGAATCGTTTATCGTTAGCAATGATTAATCGTTACGTACAAATATGCATTAAATTCCCCTCTATATATTACATTTCCAACTAATCACCTACAACAGCGGCCCACCCGTGGTGTGAAGCATATCCGTCTGTTTATTTATGAGCGTCCAGGAATTGGGCCAAAATGAACCTTTTTCAAAAAGGTATACGATAATTGGGCAACTATTTTAAACGATTTTTTATTTTTGAATCCGGTAATTGGGCCATTATATTTTAATACAATAATTTAATAAATTTAATAAAAAAAAAAATTAACAACTATTTGACTTATTTTATATTGTATTTTAATATATTTTTATGCTATACATTTGTGGCCCAATACCCGGATAATAAAGTGTACAAAAATATTGTTTATGAAGTGGATAAATAAAATTTTGCCCAAATCACGACCGCAATTATGTTCGATTTTTTTAAATTTTTTTTTTACCAGTCAGTACGTATACGAATGACACTTAACACGGTGACCCTTGCTTTGAATTGTTGACCATTCAAACGTGGCTAAAAATAATATATGTATATTAACATCAACCGGAAATAAAATTAAAATATATGTACTAAATAAGGTTCACGGGCATCAAAATAACTAAATAAAAAAAAGAGCCGAAATATTTTCGAAACATTATACCGCGTCTAGAAAATCGTTTCGCTCGGAACTACCTGGCCTAATAACGTAACCGATATTTTGTCATCATTATTAATTAGTAAAATTACAGAAATATAGTTCTGATCAAGTTTTGTACTTAATAGTTGCAAGGGATTAATATCCAAGGCATTGTGACTACTGCAACTATACAGACCTTATAATTAGTAATGATTAGATTATGTCCTCCCGCAAAATGTCGACGCTAATGAGTATTTATATTTAATGTTCAAGAAGACAATGGCAATATCATAACTAGAGGCGTAAGATACTAAATTTACACGATTCGGTCAAAACTTTACATAATAATATTCATTGCAATATATAGGTGGGCATACTTATCCTCAGACCGAGAAATTTATTATTTGTTAATTTATAAAAATTGCAATTATGTTATTTATTAACCCGGGAAGTTATTTCTAGTTTTACCGCGATACGCGATTTTCGATCGATTCGTTTAGATTCTGATTGAAGCGGCGAATGTGTTGGTTTTATATGATGTGTTTTTTTTTTTTTATTATTATTTTAATTTTAGTGCCTGTAAACGACCCACGTCCGTGAACTTAGCGGCACACGTGTAACAGAATTCAATTACACTTATTCAACAATTTCGTTGTCGGATATTGAAAGAAAATGTTTACAATTTTGCTCGACTAATGTTTTGAAAAGTTATGAGCGATTATCTATGAGCGCCGCTAAGTTCACACCAACGGTCAAATTTTCGTCGAAAACTCGTCAAAAAACCACTCGAAATTGTGGCGGTTTCACCCCCCCCCCTCCGAAACGAGGGTAACAAA